TCTTTCTGTGGGATTAAAAAAAGCAGTTTGCCAACACTTCTTCTGCTCTGAGGTCTTTATGATGCATTTGCTGTGCTTTCTCTTCATTTGCTCTTGTGAGGAGAGACTTTCCAAACAGTATTCAGGTCAGGGTGAGTTTGGCTTTTCCCTGTAATAGTATCTAAGACACACATTGGTTCAGGTATGTATCTTTTGGCTTGCTTGGATTCTTTCAGGTCTCCATGAGTTCGATGCCTTACAAGATCCTGAAGTGAACGACTTCCGAGCTAAAATGAGAAAGATCAGCGAGGAAAAGATTCAGTCCCTTGTGGGTCTCTCCTGGATGGACTGGCTGAAACACACTTACCCACCAGAGCAGGAACCTGTCATCCCAGAGAGCTTCCAGGATAAGCTCTACAGTGGAAATCTCGTAGTGGCTGTTCATTTTGATAACTGCCAGGTAGGAGTGGTTGTTCCTCACACTTCATGTCTGTTCTTATCCGGATCTGAATTAGCATGGGATTGATGGAAATGAAGTAGAATACTAACGTCGTGGTGTTTGCTTTAAAATGCAAATTCTATCACCAGGGTCCTTGACTCTTGCAAGAAGGCGAGAATGTGAACCTACAGTTGAGAACTGAACTTCCTAAAGTCAAATTACTGTTCTGCTTCTCAAGGCAAAATGCACAACTTGTATATTCTATATTATTTCACATTTGTTTAAACATAAAACGTGATTTAAAGTTGTCTGGACTATTTTTGGACAACTGTTACTGTGTTGCTTCACTAGCATTCAGTTTTAAGCTCAGCTCATCAGGAGCTGCTGGTGAATTCAACGCACTTCCCTCTATGTGTGGCTCGTTGAACATCTTTGGGGTTGATCTGCTCATTAGATTGAGCAATGCATTTAAAAAGAAAAAAATTAGTATTCCCTCTTCTCAAAATGCACACAGACAATTAAAACACTGAGACTTACTTACCATTTTGTTTTGGTTAACAAAACTATAGCTTATTTTTAAATGAAAAGCCCTTTAATTTCCACCAAAAAACCTAAAATGTTGTAGCCTCAGTTTTTTTGATGTTGAAGTTGCTGTGGCTGTGCTTGAGTCCGGCGTTCCTGGTACTCCTTTATACATTCTGTTCTTTTGGATAACTGAATTATCAGCATTGGAAGCCTTAAAAATCTCCCAGGTGTGTAAATATATCAGGCTTTTGACCCGATTTGCTAGATACTGATTTTCTAATGATTCAGTTAATTTTATTTTCAAAACTGTGTAATCTCCAGTGCTATCTCTTTAAACTTAATAAATAAATAAAAAAAAAAGAGAAAAGATAAAATCTACCTCTGGAAACAATAACTGTAGAGGTGCATACTAAATTTGGTCACCAGTAACACCAGCTGATATTATGTGCAAAGTTGTATTATAACAAAAACAACAACAAAGAGGATTTTCCAATCCTCTTTGGCTTAGTAGAGAACTTGTAGTTGTCCAGTAGTGAGAGAATCTGTGTGTTTGTCAGCTTTTGATTGAAACACTGCACGTATGTGCATGTGCTGACAGCACAGAAGCAGAGCAAAAGTTGGTGCTGGTGCAGAATGGATTTGCCTGCCACTATAATAGCTTGGGCTGCTGACATTTCAAATGTTTCAAATGCTTCTACTGCCAACTCTGACCTCCAGAGCTACCAACAGTTCAAATCTGAGCTGCTTTTGAGAGCAGTAAACTCTTTTCCAGACTGTGCTGCTTGTACTGAGCACTGTAATCGTCCTTGAAGAATTAAAGGGAAGATGTGGGGACTGTTGTGGTCTTTTAATTCTTTCAGCTGTAAGAGTGAGAAAGAGAAAATACTTTTAGTCTGGAAGGTGAGGGTGAGCTATAAGAGCTGCCTGGTTCTCTCTGGAGCAAGAGAGGCTTCTCCTCGTTTCTGTGACAGATGTGTCAAGTCCTACAATTGGGAAGGAAGGCAGTGCCAGAGAGCACCAGCTTTCTGGGAAGAAAAAGTGTTATTCCCTGCCTACCCACTGCTAGGAGAAAACCTTCACAGGGTGGAGCTTTCTGAAAGGAGGGAGCTGTTGAGAACCCTGCAGAAACTGAGAAAATACAGAATTAATTTAGCATGACTTTACAGACTTTGTATTTTCCATTAGGGCAACTTGGCTTCTTACCAGTAAATGTCTATATAAATAAAGCACAATGCAAAAGAATGTAAGCCAGACAATACTGCACATTTGTTAATAAATGGGTTTAGGATGCTTACATCTTCAGAAGTGTGTGTGTGTAAATAAAAAATAATAATTAAAAAAAATAATTCCCTGAATCAATCTTTGCAAACAAGCCTATGCAGAGCATAATGTGTTGCATTAAGGTAAATGAAACATTTTACAGATCTGTTACATTAGGAAGTTGAAATGAGTTTGAACTTTTTTTTTTTTTACTTACAAAAGGAAGTAACTTCTTGCCTTAATTTTTTTACAACACATTGAAATTAGAGTTACTTTGGAAACATAAATAACCTCTAAAGGTTTGATTAAAATAATGCTTGGAAAATGCGGAGTCTCTGCATGTTGTAGTCAGAGTGCCATGGGTGTTGACGGCTACTCCTCTTTTCTGCTCTCCTGGTTTGATGGTGGGTTTGTACATTATTCACATGAACAGTTTCTTCTGCTTTATTACTTGAAGTTTTCTTTTTCTTCTGAGTACAGTGGTACTTAGAGGACAGATTGCTAGTGGACAGAAAGAAGCAAAAATTAACACATCTAGTACTGCTAAATACCTTGGAATATGTACATGACTTATTGTTCCCTCAGTCACATTCCAAAAGCAAGCTTCTGGATCAGTGCACTGCTCTAGAAGTCTTCAAATCACTGTTGAATCAAATAGATAAAGGTCTGTGTTCTTAAAAGTACTTCTGGTAGTATAAAACTTTGGGAACTGACATTTTGCAGCTTTTAGGGTGATTATTGTTGTGATTGCCCTACAGATATAAACATTAACTGTAACTGTTAAAATAGGCTGAGTTTGGCAGTTATTATTTCTACTCTATTTTATTATGTGTGCTACAATTTAAGCCTTGTACATCTGACTCTGACAAGCTTGACATTCAATATTCCTGCTCGTGTTTTGTTAGGATGTCTTTAGTTTCCAGGTGTCTCCTAACATGAATCCCATCAAGCTGAATGAGCTGGCAATCCGAAAACGTTTGACTATCCATGGGAAAGAAGATGAGGAAGTTGATCCTGCTGACTATGTGCTGCAAGTTAGTGGAAGGCTAGAATATGTTTTTGGTGATCACCCCTTAATTCAGTTCCAGGTACATAAAGTTTTTTGGGACTTGGTGTAACAATTCTCTGCTGCATTGGCCAGAGGTGCTCCCTGTCCCCTTGGGTGTCTGGCTGTGCTGAACAGTGACACCTTGTCTCTTTGTGTCTGCAGCCCTCTCCAATTGCAAAATACGTGTGCACCATCCCCTTTGTGTCTTTGTAATGAATTGCTTGTTTCTTGGATTTGAAAGTTGCTGTAGAAACACTCTGCTAGGTGGTAACAACTGTTTCCCCTGGGCTTTTAGTACATCCGCAACTGCGTGATGAACAGGACCCTCCCTCAGCTGACTCTGGTTGAGTGTTGCACCATAAAGAAGATGTGTGAGCAGGAGATGATTGCCATAGAAGCTGCCATAAACCGAAAATCATCCAACCTTCCTCTTCCTCTGCCACCAAAAAAAACAAGAGCGACAACTGTAAGTTCATGTGGGGAATGCCTAATACCCGAAAGCAACAGTGACTTGGGGAATACAGATCCTGGGATTTTATGCTGTGACTGCTGTTTGCCAGTGTAGGTCACCTGGGTGTACTCAGAGCCTCCTGTTGCTTGTGAGATGTACCTCAGAAATAGCAGACCTTGAGACTTCTTGCGAATTTCTTACCTACCCTCAGCTTGTCCATCCTCCTTCTCCCCTTGCACCACCCATTCCCCCCTTCCGTTGCTGTTGATTGCACTTTAAATCACAACCCAGAGGAGTGGCTAATAGTGTGGAACCAACAGCTGGAGAAGTTACTGCGGAGAACCTGGGCTCTCCAGCTTTGATGGAGCTGCCCTGGCTGGGGCAGCAGTGCTTTGGGATCTCTGCATTAGCCCAGATACTGTACGTGATGCTGCCACTGCAGTGAGGGCAATTTTAGCCACAATATGCATCTAACTTTCTTATAATCTGGTGCTTCCTTTATTACTAAACTTACGACCTTACAGCACAGTTATATTTTATGTGCTGTCACTCTAAGAAATGTGGGCAGATCTTTGCTCTATTACACGCTCTGCAGTTATTCAGAATGAACAATAAATTTGAAGGGTTATTCTGAATTGTCAGAAGTAGTACGTGATGTGTGTTCTCCAACGCAGCCCCCTTTCAGCTGAGTTTTTACTTTATCTGCTTGTAGTTCTGATGACAAAATTATCCATTAAGATTTCAGATCTGTATTTTTAAGAGGGCATTTTTGTTTGTATTTATGAATTGCTTTAAATGCTTAGCTTATAAAATAAATCTCACTGTTACACTGATGAAGAATGAACTTGTGTCTTTGTTTCCCTTCTCAGAGTGTATGGGATATTTCCAACCCTTTCAAGATTATTCTGTTGAAGGGGAATAAACTAAATACGGAAGAAAATGCCAAAGTAAGTAACTGTGTGGAGTATCAGAAGACATTCTGTTCATCATTTTAATGGTTTCCAATGTTAAGTGACCTCAAAGACATACAGGTTTCAATGCAGGAAAATTGTAGGCATTTTTATTATTCCCAGTGACCTTGGCAGCACTGGTTAAAAATCCAGCTTTACTGCTAAGGTGTTCCCTTGTTGTCTGAAGTTGGATATGTGCATTAGAACAGTGCAGTAATTGTGACAGAATGACATGAATGTTCATATGGTTCTTGATTTTTTAAAAGATGGTTTCTGTAAACTACTGATACTGATGTGAAATAGGCTTATTTAAATGAGACTGTCGCAAACACCTGACACAGATGAAATATTAAATGTTTTACAGTGGCACATGAGGGGTTTGTAGCCCTGAATATATTCTGTGTGTCTAAACATGGACTGCATGCTTCTGTACAGTCTGTCTTTTATTTTCTAAGCATGAAGGACACAAAGAAAGAAAGCTGGAGTATCACTTCCTGTAAAAATGTACATGACTGGGCTACTGACTGTTGTACAGACCACAAGTTAACACATGGGAATTTATTGCAAAACTACTTTAAGGCCTTACAAGAGCAATGCCTGTGAGATAGAATAACTTAAATTTCCTTTATTTTGTTAAATAATCGATAGATTGTATAACCAGTCATGTAGAGAAGGAAGAGATCCAATTAGCCATGGATATTTGCTGTTCTGATGCTTTATTCAAGATACTTGGTGCATTTATTTCATCAAAACTATTGTTACAACCTCCTTGTAAATTTGCAGTCCTTCATTTTACTACATAGCTAAATGAGCCATAATTATATTTTACTACCTGAGACTCTGATTATGGAAATACATCCCTGCAAAACTAGATGTTTCCCTCTTCTAAACCATTATTTGGTTTGTTCTAATATCTTCTCATCTCTGCATTCTGTAAACTCTCAAGTTTTTAAAAGAAAAGAAAGGGAAAAGAAAAGGTGGATTCTGGAAGCAATGTAGCTACCAGGTTTTTCTAGGTGTATTTCCCAGGCTTTAAAAAGTGAGTTGTGGTTAATTTGAGTACATTTTTAGAGGAAAAAGAAAACACTTTGATTATAAGAAACAGGAAAAAATGACAATTGTTTTGTATTAACACCTGTGGGCACCACCTAAATATTATTTAGTATTTTGAATGCTTTTTAGTATTGAAAACTTTGAAGTCCTGTACTTACCCAAGAACAAGAATGCTCAGAGCAACCCTGCAAAGTTGCGTGTGTTTCCCTGTGTTGTCTGTCTACACTGTTACGAAATTGTCACTACTGAGAACTCATTTGTTTTCTGGTCCTGATTCTAAGGCTGTTTAATTCACTGCCATTGTTCATTTACGCCCACTGTGCTTTGGATCAAGCCAATATTCATCTATTTTTGCTGAATCCACCACCAAGGTTCACAAATGCAGCGTTTGTGGGGGGAAACAAAACATTTGTCAGATGGGTAGCAGTGCGATAGTGTGAGCTGGGTGGAGTACTTTCACCTAGAGCACAAGTGACCTCATTCATCTGTCTAACACCCGTTATCTAAAGGCATGACATTGGAAACTGCTTGTCTTTTTGTGTTGCTCTTTGCCTGCACAGTTGGTGCACAGTTTCATCAGTAAAAGGGGAGTGTCAGAATGCAAAGAAAAAAAAAAAAAAGAGACCCAAGCCTTTACATTAACAGGATTGGAAATTTTAGAATTAGAAAGGTGAATTTTTTTTTTAATCCAAAACCTGATGAAGTTTGAAACATCTCTGTCTTTTCCTTGCAGTGCTCAGAAATAATATGATAGCTTAAAGGATAATATGATAGCTTAAAGGATAATATGATAGCTTAAAGGATAATATGATAGCTTAAAGGATAATATGATAGCTTAAAGGGAATGTTGGGAAGGTTGGTCAAGGAGCACGGGGAACCTGAAACATCAGATCACTTCCACACATTTAACTGTAACACTGAGAACTTCTCTTAGGTGTTGACCAAAGGATTACATGTGTGGGTTTTTATCTCTCACTGGTATTTTTGGAAGGCCACCTGAAAGAAGTTGGGATATTTCACTCTGCACTTTTCTGGGTACATATGTTATTAAATAGAAATGCATTCACCTGTAACAGGTTTCATTTCAGTGCCAGTAGCTCCAGCTTTTTTATCCACTTGTTCTTCTGTTTTCCTGATCCTTATTTTCATCCTTCAAGCTACCTGAGTTTGTTGTTTTTTGGGTGCTAAAGATGAAACAATTCCAGGAAATCATGTACATTGTCATTATTATTACAGGTGATTTCTGATGTTGGAGTCAGCAGTGTTCCCTCTGTAGATTTTTATAAACAGTTTAAGTACAAAATGATTTCTTTTTAAGCTGGAAAAACCCCAAAGCTTTTCTCATTTTGAAGCACAAGTTGGCTCTACCTGGAGACTTCAATTTGCATTCAAGAAATTAATCTTAACTTTTTCATTCTGTTTAGTTGTTTGTTGAAATTCATATATATTCTGTATAATATTGTATGGAGAACTCTGTAGGTTCTGTGATAAGCTTTATTTTTGTTATTTCTTTATGGCAGGTTCATGTTAGGGCTGGTCTTTTCCATGGTACAGAGCTCCTTTGTAAAACTACTGTAAGCACAGAAATATCTGGGAGAAGTGACCACGTTTGGAATGAGGAGCTGGAGTTTGAAATCAATGTCTGTGACCTGCCAAGGATGGCAAGGCTCTGCTTTGCAGTTTATGCTGTGATGGATAAGATGAAAACTAAAAAGTCCACCAAGGCAATGAATCCTTCCAAATACCAAACAATTAGGAAAGCAGGAAAAGTGGTAACTATTTCATTTCTTTTTCTTGAGTGACCTCTGAGTTAGATTGAAGTGAACATTCAGAAATTTTTACTTCTCCTCGCTTAAGCGTTCAGGAATGCAAAATGAAAATAAAAAGTTAAAAAGAGGATATGTATTAAGAATTGCACATCTTGGTACAAAAAAGCTTTTGATACTTCTCAGACATTGAAAAAGGCATAAAAATGTCAGTTGTAAGTCAGCTGTCACATAGCTGTTTAAAGAGTTGTGTTTTAAACAGTCAGTTTTATTCTGAGCTGTAGATGAGTTGTGATTGGGAAAAGATGAAACAAATTACATTAGGCTTACATTCAGGGATAGGCTCCCACTCAGGGAAATGTGTATTTTTTCACTGGCAGGTTGATGCCCCTATAATTAAGTCTTATTGTCCTCAGTGGTAGTGAAGTACATGCTGAAAACTAAGCATGTGATCAACTGCTTTTCCAAAAGATATCATCACTATTAAAAAAAAAAAAAAAGGAGCCACCTTCTCAATTTTATTTATACTGTAGTGTTTGCTTTGTAATAATATTTGCTGGCATCTAAATTTCCATGTAAAACTCATTTCCTTTAACAGCATTATCCTGTAGCCTGGGTAAATACCATGGTGTTTGATTATAAAGGACACTTGAAGAATGGAGAACTGGTACTGCACAGCTGGTCATCATTTCCTGGTAAAGTCTAACTTTTAAGGTTTGGGCTTTAGGTACTGGAGAATTTAGTATCAAGTAGTAGAATATTTAGTGTATGCATGTCCCATTCCCCTGTAAGAGTCTCTTTACTGCTTGTATTTTTTATATGGATAAATATATAGCATCCTAATCTCTTTCTTGAAAGTATTGTTCACCAGGGAAGAGGAAGAGCAAGAGTCTGCTTGGAATTAGTATTTTAAAAGTTTTATCTGTTATGGAAGGAAAACCACATACAAATACATGCATGTTTATATCTACTGTTTCTTGTTTTAAAGAAGCAGTTTAGGTTTCATTTGGTCCCCTGTGCTGTGCATCCTGAACTAAACAGATAAACTACAGTGTATGTGGCAACATTTGCATCAGCAAAAAGTGTGAATTAGGGTTTTGTCTTCTTCCCTGATATTCAGCTTGGTTAGTGAGTGTGTGAAACCTCCGTGTCACTATTTATTCCATCCCAAGAAACCCTGTATCAGCTTTGCTGTAGTGCTGAAAGAAAACTGGCTTAAAACTCTTCCTCAGTACTGTTGGATACAGAGGCAGTGTTGTCCTGGGTTGCAGAAGCTGCAGATCTTCCTGGGATTTGTTTCACTACAGGGGTATCTCATCTTCCCTTGACTGTGATGTTTAGTTTGGAAAGAGAAAATCAGCTTCTCCTTGGGTGATAATCCAACATTTGGGAATGTAGGAGGTAGTTTATGCTGGAGGTACAGAGCACTGTACCAGAAGTGCTGTGCTGCAGAACGTGCTGCTGTCTGTTGTGCACATCAAGACACTTTTAACTGTGTCCTTGCCGTTCAGAGGTTTAAAATTTTAATTTGTGCCTGACCTATAATATCAATTGTTCTGTCAATGTTTCAGATGAACTTGAAGAAATGTTGAATCCCATGGGAACCGTCCAGACTAACCCTTACACTGAAAATGCAACAGCTTTGCACATTAGATTTCAGGAATATTCCAAACAGCCTATCAATTACCCTCCCTTTGATAAGGTAAGCTATGACCTAAATAGCAGTCAGGAGAGTTTGTGTAAATAGCTGTTACTTCTTTCCTTTCAACACTGCCTTTTCCAGTGAGTTCCCCTCTTCCTGCCTTTTAGTCAGCACACTGCAGTTTCTAAACTTGCACTGCGTGAGTGGCACTGCTCTGACTTCAGGGTCTATTTTGAAGATGTCTGCTCTTAAAAATGGTCTGTACGTAGTCTTCTGAGGGTCAAAAGCATAATAAGTTCCCATATGTATGATTTAACAAAAAGCTAAATTTATCTGCTATTCTGGAAACCTTCAAACTCTGTTTGCCTGTGATCTATAAAGATCTGCTCTTTCTTGGTACAAATGTGTGTTACCCACTCCTTGGGACACTGCTTTAAGAGCTCAAGTCCTCTAAAGGATAAATAGACTCTTAACACTGCGTGAAAAGGGATTTCTGAAGGTCTGCTCTTGAACTAAACCCACTGAAGCTGCCCTGCAGTTTTGCACAGATGTGAATATCTAGAAAGGAAATGTATATTTGAAGCACATATGGTACTGTCTGAAGGGTGAATGCTAGATAAAAAGTTGTTCACAAACTAGGAAATAAAGCTAAGACAAGCAATAAAATAAGTCTAAAACCAGACAGCTAAGGATGCTCTATAAAAACAACCTTTAACTCATACATACATTAGTCTGAATTTTGGTTTGGAGAAAATCAATAACCACTTAAAGAAAATGGCCTTTTGGCACCTTTTGGGGGGCATGAACGAAAAGACTGAAACCACCAACTCTATCAGCTTGATCAAAGGGGGATTTGGGGTTTAAGGCTCACCAAAATGAAACCATGTAACAAGAAAGGGTTTTTGTTTTGATTTTGAGTTGATTTTTTCCCCCTTGTCCTTGTCAGTACTTCTTTTGTTAAAACAGCATTGGAAATGCAGTAAGAACTAAACCAGTGCTGACTAATTGCTGCCTTATTTATGGCTGACCAGCTGACTCTTCACAGTGGAGACATATCTTAGTCAGCTTTGGTGTTGATTTATTTGTAGTGCTGTAAGTTTTTTGCTCATTACACTTTATGTATTTAATTTCTAAAGAAAAAAAACCCTTGGTTTGATGTGCATATTAGAGAGAGGTTAGGTGAAAGTGTTTCTTTAGTAATCACATACAGTGAGATACCCAGTGTAGTGATGTTAAGATGATGCCTAATGGGTTTCACCACCCATGTAACACTCAAGCTCAGTGAAGGTTCTGTTGAATCAGAAGTAACATTGCAGTGCTTGGGTTATATCAGCCAAGAGTCTGTTGCTCAGAATGGTCTCAGCTGAGACTTGCTTGCTGCTTCTAATTTTCCCAGTGTTATGGCTTGTTTTCGCCAAAGAATTGGACAATTGGGTGCCAGATACTTATTCTAGGAAACATAATGTGCAAGAATAGATGAAAATGTTCAATCATGTCATCAGCCCACTTGCAGAGCGAGTTTGGGGCTGAGGGAGAAGTGCCTGGACCATTGGTAATAATCTGTTGTGTGAGGCAAGAGCTGGTTAATGACCAGTGCTGCTGGCACACTTGGGGTTCACCTGAACAAAGCTGGACTTGCAAAGACTTTCAAAGCTTATTTGCGGGCTGGGAAGCACAGGGAGGCATCAAACATGGAATTAGGACCTTGTGGTTTTGTTTATGCATGTTTTCACACACAATATGTAAACAAGCTCTGCGGCTGAGTGGCAGATGTAATACACGATATTAATAAAAGGTTCATTCAGAGAGAGAAATAAAACAAGTTAGTGTACCTTTTCAAGAGGTTTAGCTGCTGGGTATTTATGCTCTGGTTATTGTAGTCTTTTGTTATTTCTCACATTGCCTGAGTGAAGACAGCACAAGTCCTGCTGAACCTGTGTCTGGGGGTGCTGCTGTAATCCTGGGTGATGAGAGAGGCAGAGCTCTGAGGGAAAGGAGATGGTGTGACTCTTTAGACATCTTTATTAGCTGAGATTTCATTTTATGATTCATTCCTCAAAGCAGCAGCATCTGACAAGTGTAGATAGACATTCCTGCAGTGAGGTTAGACAGCCAACTGGACCAGTTCAGCTGGTCTAATGGGCTCAGGCAGTCACCATTCTAACACCTGTCCAGGGCTGCAGTGTGTGCACAACACTGTTGGAAGAACTGTATTTACAGCTGTACTTAATTATCCATCCTGGTTTATCACGTGAACTTCAAAAACCAGATAGAAAGTTCCAAAGGCCAAAAAAAAAGTGAAAAAGAGTAACTCAGAGCTGAGCTTCTGGGGAAATGTGGCTTTGCTGTTCACAAAAGCAGCAGTCCTTGTTCTGAGGGTTGGTGCTGAGAGTTTGTGGGTGGAATATTCCCTGTATCATTACGTGCTTCTTGTTGGAAGATGGTTGGTCCTGGTGTTACCTGAGGGAAGATCCCAGATCTAGAGAAGTACCTGGAAACACTGAGATCACATGGACAAGCTGAGAAGGTGGTGAAGGGACTGAGTCTGTGAATTCACACTGGAATGGACAGCTAGATGTGTGGAAACAGTGCCCTTGAAAGCAGCAGAAGTAGAGATGAGAAAGCAAAGGATAATTTGGAGCCGAGGAATTGGTTTGCTGCACTGGGAAATAAGAGGAAAATGCAAACAGAAACAGAAAGCAAGGTGATAACAAAAAAACCTGTTTAGCTCAGGATTGCTGAAGAAGAAAAAAACTGAGGTAATCATGGGCACTCCTATTCCTGATCTCCCTAGTCCTGCAGATTAGAAAAGGGGCACATTGTGTTATACCACTGTATATACGAAAGAATAGCGTTGTAACTATCTAAAAGATAGCAAAATTTCCTTATCTCCTTTGTTTCCATAATGTTTATTCTTTCAGTGCAATCAGATTTGGAGTTAAATCTAACGTATTTAAAACCAACTTTTTGCAGATACTTGAAAAGGCAGCTGAGATTGCGAGAAACAGCGACAATGCTGCAATGGCGGTGAGCATCATCTAAAGACTACTTTAAAATTATTTTCTGGGGGTTTTTGGCTCTTCTACATCAGTCTGGAAATAAAGAAGTCTACAGCTCAAATAAGAGTTTACTGGCTCAGTTTTCTTATATAATTCACTTGATGAACTGCCTTAAAATTCATGTATATATCTGCTTTTTCCAATATATTTTGGACTTGGCTATTATTTTGTTAAAAAGCTTTACATACTCTATGGGTTGGAACACAGCTAAGATTTACATTAGATCTGGAAAATAAGTTAGGATTAGAAGACAAAAATATGTGTTTTGACTACTTGGCAAATATACTTTCTTTTAGTTATTATTGGAAAAGTGTTTTGTTTTGTTTTGTTTTTTGCTTTTAATTAAAAGAAATAAATACATATGTATCTATTAAATTTCTTCATTTGAAAAACAAAAGAAGAAATATGCATCCTAAATGAAAGTTCTCCATGTTGGAGTTGGAAAACAGAAATGTTGCCATCTAGTGTCATTAACTCTAAAGTTTAGTTGCATTTTCAGAAGCTGCTGCATGCTGAATTTGGAATCTGTTTGTTGTAGCGCTTACAGCTTAAGAAATCTGAAAGAAAGGCACATTAGTCATTCCCTTGTGTTCCCTGAGTTTTATCTGATGTTCCTCCTGCTGTGGAATTGCTGGTATTTGAGCTAAAATATACGAATCTTACTGAATTTATCACAACTTTATACCTTTCTCCTTTTTTAGGGTCGAGGTGGTAAGAAGTTTTATGTTGTGCTAAAAGAAATAATGGAAAGAGATCCTTTATCTCAACTTTGTGAAAATGAAATGGATCTCATTTGGACTTTGCGATATGACTGTCGTGAAAATTTCCCACAATCATTGCCCAAACTGCTGCTCTCTTTAAAATGGAACAAACTTGAAGATGTTGCTCAGGTAAGGGAAAAGACAACAATGGTGTGAAAAAATGCTGGAGTCAAATCATCAGTAAATAGGATTTCATTCCATCAGACTTCTGAATAGTCCTCTGGCAAAAGTACAGCAATTATTTATACAGACTAATTTTAAAATCCTGTGTCCACTTTGATCTTAAATGCAGGGAATGTCACAGACTCACAACATTGTTTAGGTTGGAAGGAGCCTCCTGAGGTTGTGACACCCAGTGCAGCCCCCTGTGCTCAAACACAGTCACCTGAGCAGGGCTGTGTCCAGCTGGGATTGGAGTATCTTCACCAGTGGAGACTCCACAGTCTCTCTCACATATTCCAATGTGTGACCCTCCTCACAGCAGCAACATCTTTTACAAGGCTACTAAAAATTTTAAAGAAAAGGTTTATCGGTCAAGATCTGAAACAAAACTTCTTATAAAAATTACTAAACTGCTCAAATAGAGTAAAAATCCACATCTCAGTCTGGGTAATTAAACCTCGTTCAGGCAGACAGGTGAGTTTCAAAGAAATATGATCCCCACCAGTGGTACAAAACACATCATTTTCATCATGTGCCTGTTTGACCAAAGAGAGTCTCCTTGAAGTTACCGTCAGTTACTAAGGACATGAAGGCTGGTGCTGCAAAACAAGATGCATTTTCAGTGAAATCACTTGTTTGCTGTACAGATGTGCACAATTATTTCACTACACTCTAAAGAACTTGGTGTAGCTGCCTTTTGCTGTATTTACCCAAACAGAATCCAACTCCTGTTTGGAGTTGAACTCTAACCTTTAATAAGAAAAATTGTATGAGCTTATAGTAAGACAATTCCTGCTTGATAGACTGATTTTTAAAAAGTAATAAAATAACAAATTTCTGGATTGGTGCTGAAACCTTTTAGTCTGATTATGCACAGTTTGACCAAACTAAAAGTCTGACCAGAATAACAAAGAGCACTCGCTCCAGGGGGTGAACCCAGATGTTGTTTTGGTCACCTGCTCATCCTGACAGAATTCATATTTAAATAGCACTCCACTTCTTGCAGACCATTACACTGAGATAATATTTATCTCTTTCCATGAGTCTAGTTTTTTAAATTTTAAACTAATTTCTTTTTCATTTTTTATTACCTTAGAGCTAAAAAGCTGATTCCTGTGAAGGATTATGATTGATAGTATAGATTTCTATTGTGCCTTAGTATTCTGACCTTCACCCGTTAATAGCTGGAAGAAAAGGAAGCCACTCCAAACTCACCTTCTGTCTATTTATCATGCAGTTTTTCTGATTATCCAGTCAGATCTGAGCTTGCCTCCAGCATGGAGCTCATTTCCTGTTACATCCTTTCTACCAGATGGATGTATATGTTGTGTGAACTCCTAAAAATAAATGGAATTTCATCCTTGCTAGTTGTCTGTGCCACGAACACCACACTAATAACATGGAGCATCCACACATTCCTTGTTCACTTGTGTTCTTCCATGTGCAAGAATCCTCATTCCTTGGTAATTCCATTGTGCTTCTGAATTTATTGTTTGTTATTGAAAGTTATCTGGAAATACAAACTGTAGAAATATAAGCGAGTACTTGTTTACTCATTAAAATATGTGAAGAAAAAGGCGTTCTGATTGCTGTGGGCTTTGAAATGTGGCCCTTGGCAGCAGCTTTGAAAAGTTATTTGGAATGTGGATATCAACTGACTGCTCAAAGTCCTTTAAATTTGGGAACATTAAATATTATATATGTATAAAGCGTTTTATTTAAGCAGATGGCTGAAAATATGTGGTCATCTTGTTACTGTGGACTTTCTGGAAGGAATGTAGTATTTATGTTGCTTATGTATAGGGAATAGTGCAGTTTATAGTTGTGGCAGCAAGGATACTCTTTCTGAAAAATGAGATCTTATCCTTAAACATGCCAAATATTTCTGTAAGTACTCCCAACAGCTTACCTTTTCAGGTAAGGCAAGACAGCCTCCTGAATTTTATGAGTTCCAAAATTAGTAGCACCCATAATTTACTTCTCATTAAAATTAAACATTTATTGTGGTAGCTGTAGGTTGCAGTGTTTGTACTGCTACACTGTGCATGCTGTTGTACTGGAAGGTTTTTTTAATGTTAATTTTTAGATGTGTTTCAGTAGAAGTCAAAAAATCATTCAGGTTTTGTAAGTTACTATTTAAATATGAAATAATTTCTATTATCTAATTTGCAGGAGAGGGTATTTTCATCATGAGTCATATGACTCAATCCTACAGAAAGGAAAATCTTGTGCTGTTGATACACTGCATTTATATATTCAAGTTTGTTTATTTGGAGAAATAGTGCACTGTTTCAGTCATACAACTATATACATATTATTAAAAATACACTCTCAGCAGCAAGTTTCATTCCAATGCAATAAACCCAGTTTATTTTGTGAGACCTCTGCATGTTGTTCTTCTTGGTTGTCCAAAATGATGCACTGCTGTGTTCTGTCATGTTTTTCAGCACATTATATCGCATAGGGATTTCTTTTAAAAAAATATCTAACCTTCATCATGCTTTCCACAATTTAAGCTTATTGTTATTCACAATGAGTGTGTGAAAAAGCTCCATCAGTTGAGGTGGTCAAATAATCTTGGTGAAGATTTCTTTCAACAAAAAAAAGGTCTTCTGTTGGTATGAATACTTCCATGGGCAGTTACACCCATTTGTGTTCTTAAATAGTTCCTTTACCTGTTACCTAATAATCTTCTTTTTAAAACAGCTTCAGGCCCTCCTTCAGATCTGGCCCAAGCTGCTGCCCAGAGAAGCTCTGGAACTGTTGGATTTCAACTACCCAGATCAGTATGTCAGGGAATATGCAGTGGGTTGTTTAAAGCAGATGAGGTGAGTATGTTGTGTTACTTTACCATGTGAGGCTTTCTGGGGTGGAAAACTGCCTTCACTTTGTTTACAAGAAAAAAAATGATCCCAGAGAGGACAGAGTTAAACACTCTGCCTGCCAGGGATAGGTGGCCAAATAAAGCAGTCGAATTTCTAGATAGGGACATTGGCAGCCAAATAAAACCTGTTTATTCTGACATCTTGTAGTCAGCAATGATTATTTTCCATATTGCAAAGTGCCCCTTTGTCCAAGAAAGGGATGAACACACCCAGCCCTCTCTGGGACAAAGGGAGAGTGAGATACTGTGAGAACTTCTTAAAAACAAAGGGAGAAATATCACAGTAGTCAAACCCTGTAAGACCTCATGTCCAGCCACCTCACAATCTGTGTCAGGGACTGGCTGCATCACAAAAGAGGAATGTAAGCTGTAGCATATAATAAATAATGAGAGAATTACTGGTGTGTTTGTTCTTCACAGGAGCCTTCTCTCTTTGCATTCTCTCTCTTCCTTTATTGCATTTCATTCTGCTCCTCACTGTAACCTAGGGCAAGACTTGTGTAACATTATCATTACTGCGTATTTCCTGTCCTTGAATTCTGAATTCTCTGTGGTGAATAGTTTAATGATTGATTTTTTAATGGTCAAGGCTGGACTTTTGGGGTAAGAAAAAAATAAATTGTTTGGCCTTCTTTCAAATGCAAACAAGCAGTTTTAGCTGCTGGGCTATCCTAATAACACCAAATTGTTATGTCTGGAATTATTTCCATCTGGCAATTGCACTAAGATGTGTATTATCCTTCTCCCTGCGATTGAAAAATTGGGGAACACTCTTGCTATTGAAACAAATCTGTTATTGTTGGATTTTTCATGTGCATCTGAATTTCTGGAGTACCATTACTCTAGCTGCTCTCACTAACTGCCTTTATGTATCTCGTTCTAGTGACGAAGAGCTCTCTCAGTATCTTCTCCAACTTGTGCAAGTCCTGAAGTACGAGCCTTTTCTGGATTGTGCACTGTCCAGGTTTCTCTTGGAAAGAGCACTCGCCAATAGGAGAATAGGACAGATGTTGTTCTGGCACCTAAGGTAGGAGGTTTTCCCTTTTTTTGTGTTTCTGAAACTGCTGAGCCAGATTGGACTTTCAAATTTGATTTCTTGAGGATTTTGCTAAATGAGCCATTTTCATAGTGCTCTACAAGTCCTCTTTAAGTTTCTTTATCTTTGGCATTTATTGAGCAAGTCTGTCATTAAATAAATTAAAGTGATTTGTAATCTGCCACATAATGAAAGAATTACAATAGAATAAAAGTAGTTTTGTGTGTCATTTCTACATTTGATGAGCAGTTTCATGAATGGCAGAAGCCTTGCAGAATGGACTGTAGGTTTATTCTGGCTTCAAAGCACAATTGATTTTAATATTTCTAACAAAAAAGAGCAAGTACTACATGACAGTGTTTTAGAGGGTAATAAACTCTGGTATAAGGTTCAGCGGTTTGATTTGATGTGTTCCCCTTTGGACAAATTTGGGCTTTGCCCTTACAAAGTCTTGGGAACACAAGGTTTAACATCAGCCCTCATTGTCAGTATCATCTTCTGTGACTTATCGGTCCTGTTCTGAGTAAAAGGGGATTCTGAAACAGGTATTTAATTGCTGCCTTCAAACATTTCCACCACTGCCTCCAGGGCAGTCTTGGACCTTGGAACAAATGGCACGTATCAAACCTGGCCTGTCTTCGTAGCCCTCAGCACAGAAGTGTTCTGCTATTTCTTAAAAATTCTGGCTTTTTGTTTTATCTGCATGTTCACGATGTGGTTTTATGTTTGTTTGGGGGTTTTTTAATGACTGGAAGAACACAGATGTGTAAGTGCCACGGTCTGACGAGACGCCTTTCTCCTCTCAGGTCGGAGGTTCACATCCCTGCTGTCTCAGTGCAGTTTGGTTTGATTCTGGAAGCTTACTGCAGGGGAAGTGTTGCTCACATGAAAGTGCTCGCTAAACAGGTATGGACTCCCCTTCTCCTGGCAGGCTTGACTTATCTGAGCTTGTGACTCTGACACTCGTTCCCCTGTTCCTGTGGGGTATATTGGTTACCTTGACAAAGCCCATCTGCTGGGAACGGGGGAGGGAGGGAAGCGTGTGTGACACAGAATTAAAAGGGCTAAATGGATGATGGAGCTGCCTCCCTGGTACAGAGGGCAGGCTGTGCTGTGGGGCCTCTGAGGTAGCGAGCTGGTTTATGGTGTTCCAGGATGTGAGAGGGACCTGCAGCAGTGTGGATGTGTTCCAGGGACAGCAGCAGACTCTGGGGGTTGATAACTGAAGAAGGGCTTCTGTGCGCTCGACCTTTTTCCCCTCAGTAAAGGCAGCATGTTCTAAATTTTACCTGGATGACTCCAGGACTACTTCCTACAGCTTTGGCTTTTGTTTAAAGGTGATGCAAAACCCCTTGAAGTTGTAGTATCGTGTAGTGCTCCCTGGAAATAGAGGTGTTGAAGTAACCCAAATACTCATTTTAGTGCTAATATATATGTACCATTTCTGGGGGGTTGGGGAAAGAAGAGAGATGTGTTTGCCGTTAAATGCCCTAAAAACCATAAGAGGTTTGCTTTCAAAAACACTACTAAGTCTATCAGCAGATCATTAAGAGACACTCACAAATCATGTTTGAAGTCTCTAGTGCAGTTTTAGTGAGTTAATTCAGATTGTGACCATAAAAATATTTGAAAAATGATCTCTCTTGGAGTTAATGTATTTACTGCATCAGGTCACAAAGACTCACTCAGTGGATGACTAACTGGTGAGTGGTATTTGTCTGCATTAAAACTCTCCTTTGGGAGGCATTTGGAACAGGAATATTCTGTTGTGCTGTTTATTGCTGCAGCTCACAGGGCATGGAAGAGACCATCTCTTACATATGTATGCTAGTTAACATTGTCAAAATCATAAAAAGATTAGGTAGTGAAATGCTTTAAGCAATAGAGGTAAGGTCAGTAAAGTTTTTGCGCACTTTACAGGAAGCAAATGTCAGTACAATCAAAGAGAGGGCAAAAAAATTCCCAACTGTGCAAACACGGAAGAAATTCAAAGTAGAAATACTTCAAAAAGTTCCTGTTTGTACAACACAGGTTCCATTTTGTTCCCCTGTCACTGATGTTTGTACAGCTCCTAGAATAGTGGAAAAGCAGAGGGCTTTTGGTTTTGACAGATGGCTGACCTGGCAGGTCTCCACTGCCAGTTTTATAATCAAACTGCATACAATTTCCCCAGCATCCTGCCTGACAGGGTTCAGTCTGTGGGAGGGGTGAGTTTTGACTCAGCACCTCGTAAGTTAGACTGAAGCTTCCTTGTATAGAAATCAGCTTTCATAATTGTTACCCTGGTGCTGTTTGCTGGAGAATCTCTGTATTGCTGAGCACATTAACTGTGGCTGGTGCAAACACAGCTGGTTGTTATAAGAACTGTTTTATATTTGACCAACGAGTTGTTTAGCTGTAGAAACTGTTTTTGTTGTGTGTGCTCTCTAGGTTTCTTACCAGAGGGCTTTGCTCTGTCAGTGCTGTACATTCACAACAGTAGTTTTCTTAGAAATGATGTACCAGTAGAAAACTTTCCAAAACAGAAGGGAAAGAAAGGGTCAAACTGCCTGTATTATTGCAAATAATTACCTTTTTACACATTTTTAGGTTAAAAATATTGTTTAGTTGAGATGCTATCATTTGGAACACCTGGGTTGGTTTGAGCTTTTACCTTATGCCTGACTGCAGCAGCATTTTAATGACAAACATTTCAGACTCTGATCTGTGACAGTTGCCTGTAAGTGGTCACGTGGCCACATCTTATTGGGTGCAACTAAATGTGAACAGTGAAGTATCTGCATCCACAGCTCATCTCAGCAGTGTCTGATTTTGTTAGAAATAGGAAGCACTCAGTGTTTGTGTTGAGTTCTGTATGGACAGAGGCACCTATGTTATGTGCTTGGTTGAGTTAGTATTTGTATTTTGAAGAAGGAGTTTGTGTTGATGTATCATACATTAAAATGCCCCATTCATTTTTTGGGAAATGTTAAGTCATGCTTCTGAAAGTGACTCGAAACTTAAGGGCTTTCATCCCATCAGTGTCTCTGTTAATTATGAAAATGGTATTTCGGGAAGATGAGTGACTTAATTGCCATCTATTATTTCCATTTTTAAAAAGCTGGAGAATTATTTAATACATTGGTTTGTTTGGAAATGGGATTTTTCACTGTATTATATCAGAGCAATGACTCTTAAAGAAAAAAATGTCTCTTTCAGGTGGAAGCCCTTAATAAAATGAAGACTTTAAATAGTCTAATTAAGCTGAATGCCATGAAGCAAAGCAAAGCAAAAGGAAAAGATGCCATGCATACGTGTTTGAAACAAAATGCTTACAGAGAAGCACTTTCTGATCTTCAGTCTCCTCTGAATCCTTCTGTTATACTTTCAGAACTGCAGTAAGTAAAGAATGAGTGGATTTCACTGTAGCTTTTGCATGGAGTCAGGAGCAGGAACTTCCTCTGGCTGTGTTGTTCAGCAGATGTGCTGCCATGGGGAGCTTTTCCTATGGGGAGAGAGGTCTGCTGGGAATCTTCCTAAGGTTAAGATACCAGTTAATTAGAAGATATTTGTGATCCACCATGAAACTCAGTATTCTCCTAATTGATCCATTAGCATAGCTGAATATGTTTAAATATAAGCCTCAAAGTGCATTGAGCTGCACTCCTTCCATCTGTTTATAATAATAAGCACAGAAGTCACTAAAACTTCTCACAGCACATAAAGTCTAAAAATTGATGGGAAAGAATAGAAAGAAAACTATTTTCTCTGAAAATGAGGGTGCTTGATTTAAGCACTAGAGATGTGTATGCCAGTCAAATACAGTCCATCTATAATATGTCCATAGCTTGGAAAGTGCTCACAGCATATCTGCAGAGTGAATGCTGAGAGAGCATTTAGGTATTTCCAAATGGAAAGTCTGTGTTCTGTCATGTTCTGAACCATGGTTAGACCTTTTCAGTTGAATTCTTCTTATTTGACTAAATCTTCTGTTGTATTTTCTTCTAGTGTTGAGAAGTGTAGATACATGGATTCTAAAATGAAGCCTCTGTGGATAGTGTACAACAACAAAATGTTTGGAGGAGATCTTGTAGGGATCATCTTTAAAAACGGTGATGGTAAGTAATGCCAGAAAGTTTAATTTTTTCCTTTTTCCTTCTTCATTGCCATGCTTGCACTTAAGCTGTGTCGCTGTGTTTTGCCATAATGGAAAGGTGGATGACTCTAACACTGGTAAACACTCAGCATCTTCTTCTGACTGAGTTTCAGAGTATGGGCATGGCCAGTCACGATGATGTGATTATGGTTGATGCCACTGTAACCCTTAGGCTCAAGGAGTGTTTGTAGATACCTTTGTCTGAGGACCTTATAAACTTTAGAAAGTTTGTTTGCAACACAGTGAGAACCTGAAGCAGCAGTTTCACCCTTTGGTTCCAGATCTCCGCCAGGACATGCTGACGCTCCAGATTTTGCGTTTGATGGACATCCTTTGGAAAGAAGCTGGGCTGGATCTCCGGTAAGGATCTCTGGAGGGCTCTGGTTTATCTGGATAGAGAGTCTACTTTTACAAGTAAAGCTTTCCTGGTTTTAAGTACCTTCCCTACTGCCCCTTTTCTAAACATCTGTATGGATGCCCAGAGGTTTCAACTGTCACAGCCAAGGTGAACCTTCTCTCCTTCCTGCTCTGAGCAGTCCCCTTATGGCTGTTCCCACTGTGAGCACCTTCAGTGTACCTGCTGGATCCCACTCCGCATGCTTTTGCTGATAAAACACTATTTGGATGTCAGAAGACATTCTTCAGACCAGAAATATATTTGTATCTTTCAAAGTCTCTTGCAAAGCAGCTTTCTTACCTTCATGTGCTTGCCAAGATGAGCATTACATCTTGGTAGGAATATCAGAGTATTCCAAAGAGGAACAGGATCAGGCATTGTTCCATGTTATCCTGCAATGCTCTAGTTGTGGGGAACTTTTCCACCCAAAGTTATGCACCATTTTTAGGTAACATGATTCTCAAATTCTAATTGGTCTTTAGAAAAGTAATCCTAAAGAAAGTACGGGGTGTCACATTATTATAAACCATGTGGAGGCCATAAATTCAATTTTATATGTCTGTGAAAGAGCTGTGCTTAATTTTTAAGTGTGGTGTTTTTTTGTAATTCTAGAAGTACTTATTTAAATATTATCTGAAATACTTATTTTAGATTCTTTGAGCTCATTTCAAATGTTTTATGGTTCAAGCACAACAGTGGGAGCTACATAAGGCACTTAACATCAGCACAGACAAGTGAAATTATAAACTTGTTACTTGTTTGCGTACAGAAAGATAGGAATGTGAATTCCAAACTGTTTCTGGAAATGTACATTTGTGAGGTGGCTGAGTGAGTGTTAAGTTGAACACTGACTTGAGGAAACCTCAGATAATTTATGTCATTATAAATAGACTCTGAGGAGACCAGTCCATTTTTTAGGGGCAAGGACAGCTTCTGGCAGCTGTGGAATTCCAGCTGTGGCATCCTTTGGTTGCTGCCTTCCCAGAATCATAGTTTGTGATGCCAGCCTGGGCCACACACTGTGCTTAGCAAACCGGAATAGTGATTAGAGTCATCAAATATGCTTCTCCTGACAAAGGCATTTTTTTAAACTTAGCAAAGGAAAACCAAAAAGTGGCTCTGATGTCCAAGTTTTTTCTTAAAACTCTGAGGAGAAAAAAAAAGTAGAAAGGGGAAGTTCCTAGCGAGAATTGAAGTTCTATATTTGGCCTCTTCCATTTATTTGCTTAACTGGGAGCATCTTCCTTCCATTCATCCTCTCACAGCTCCCATCATAAAATTCTGGGATTGGGGCAGGGTTACAATTCTGTGTCTGACAGAGATTAATCAGATACTTGCCAAGAGAAGGCTCTCAGATGGCCTTTATTGGGAACAGAATTGGACAAAGCAGCACTCGGAATGCTTGGAGCATTCAGGTAGGAGGGTAAGACTTTATCATCTCCATGTTTACAGTCTGCAGGTCTCTCAAGAAGAGACATTTCCAAAATCTATGATTTAACAGTGGTGCTGGTGAGGTCTTTGCTGTGTTCATGAGTCAGGACTCATTGGCTTGTTTTTGTTTGGGTGGGAGTCATGATCTCAGGCAGAAAAATAGTGTCAAATGGAGCTGCTTTCCTGAAAAATAGTGTCATACGCCTGTACCAATGAGTGGAGTCTTTGCTTCTTGCCCTGTACTGTCCTTGGAGGCTTTAGTTTCCCTGAAGTTGTTCATAACATTGGTGGGTACATAATGGATTTTGCACTTTTCAACTTTCCTCTACTACAGAAATTCTGATAACTCCATCCAGGTAACATCAGGGCTTCTTACTTGTGTCACTGGTGTCAGGGCAGAAGCACTTGCTGTTTGCCTCTCCCCATCAGTCGTGTTTTGCCTCAAGCAAATCGTGCAGCTTCTATGAAGGGTGGCTCAAATGGCAACCGAAGCACTGCCCTCGAGGAGTCTGGGACGTCATCAGTTCCCTTTTATTTGCACTGTGATCCACAGCAGTTCAGGAGTGATTTGAAAGCAAATCTTAGCTCAGTGTCTAAAGCAGGCATGATGCTCCCAATGGGATTTCTTTTCTCTAGAGAAGAACACCAAGTATATATTGATTTTGAGATCTCCATAGCTGAAGGAGGGGAAGTGTTTATTTGTTTGTTTAACTGTCAGCTAATGTGTCTCGTGGGTAAACTGGCCTCTTGCACGTGTATGTTGTGCTGCCTGGGTTCCTGTGTGTGAGGTCTGACTGAGCAACACCCAGGGCAGGGTTAGTATGGAAAAGGAGATGTGTTTGTGCAGGAGGATGCGGCAGTGCTCCAGTAGGTCCTTCATCCTGGTTGGCACTGAGGGGACTGTGCACACACAGCTGAGTAAAACCTGAGGTGCAGATTGATCTGCTTCCCAGTACAGAGCCAGCCATGAGCACCAGGGGCCTGCACCCCGGGCAAACACTGCTCTGACACTCAGAGGAGTCTGGCTCAGGTCAGTTCACCTTAAACCTCAGTCAGTCAAATAGCAGAGAGAAATGAAAATACCAGAAAAGCATGTTTTTTAGTTAATCCCCACACCTATTAATTTTAAGACAAACTATTACCTGAAAACTGAGCAGGAAATAATTGGCCTAAGACATTAGTAAGTATGTGCAGCCAAACTTCCTCAGGTTCTTCTGTAGTTTCTTTCTAGTTGTTTCTTGCACTTTAAATGTAGGCAGGTTAGGGAACAAACTTGTGAAGTTAAACAGTAATAATATTGAGTCTGCATTTGCAGAATGACAAATGAAACTTTGAGAGAGAAAAACTTTGAAACTCCCTGAAAAGTTGCAACTCCTCAAGTTACTCGGCTTTCAAAAATTCTGTATGCACAGGCATACTCACAGTAGATTACGTGGATTATTCTACTATTTCCACGAGGAACATTTAACTATTACAGATACGTGTCACAGTAGAGGAGAATAACATCTGTCTTCCCAGGAATGCTGTGGGGTCTGGGGTGTTGCACCTCTTAGGAAAGGAATCCTTGCATTAGGAAGTGTTTTGGCTGCTTTACCTGTATTAGGGCAGCAAAGCTGTGTTAAGGGAAAAACCAGTAAAGGAACAGAGCAACAGAAAATGCTGAATTTGTGGAGTTTGATCTACTTTGAGTCACCTTTGCTCTGGTAAATTGTCATAAAAGTATTTGGTTACTTTTTTGGGTGTTCTCCAAAGAACTTTTTTGTTTTGTGCTTGTTTATTGTGGGGTTTAATTTTCACCTCTCTTACCAGTGAGGTCTGATGTTACGTGGATGTGTATGAATGAAATCAGAATTCACACAAATACTGAAAATGTATTTGTTACAGCTCCAAAGATTGTCATGGTTTTAAACTATTGGACCTGAAGTTACAGAGAATATGCTGATAAATTACCAGAATTTGGTGTGTATTTGGAAGGATACTGCTTTGGAGAATTAAACTCTTGGGGAAAAAAAAAAAAAAGTTTTAAGTGAGTAGAGAGAAAAATTACTGTCCTGCCCAGGACTGCAGTATTGATCTGTCCATGGATTTCACTGGCTTTAAAAAGCAGGGAGCATATCCTGCTGGCAGATGTTGAAGTCAGAAAGACCAGGATGAGATGGGAAGGGCCCAGAGGATTTGTCCCTAACTTGACTCCTGTCAAACCGTCTCTCTGACAAGGATGTTTTTTCCTCCAGTTATAAGCACACAGCCCTCAAGGGGCTGAAGGCTTTCATCATTGCTTGCTTTTGAAGGGGAAGTTGCTGGCCATGTGCCCAGCTAAGCTGCAGCAGGGTGGGTTGAAATGCCATGGAAGGAGGCCAGCGTGCACTTTAACCTGGCAATATTTGGCTCCCATTTGTCGTGTCGTGATAAGGACGGGCTGCGCTTCCGTGTGTCGTGGGCGCTGCTGGTGGGCGATTACAGACCCCGTTGTGGTCACTGTGAGACCTGCTGGTCTGGGGAGCTGGGCTGTAACTGGGACACAGATCAGAATAGAAACGGGAAGAAGGTTCCAAGTCTGCGCTTCTTTTATTGTTTTGAAGTTGAGTGTTCTCGAAATACCCTGTTGAATCTGGTTTTCAGTTGGCTTTGTTGCCAGTAGAGTCCCAGACTATGTAGTTACTGCAGCTTGTGCTGTTTCAGTTGTGTTATCCCTGAGGTAGAGAAACTGCTCAGTTGCCTGATAGCTGTTATGGTAAAAAAAAGTGACTGATTTTGGATGGAATTTTATTTGTTTTCCTTCTATGGCTTGGGCTAATAGGCTGTGTCAGTTAGGGGATGACTTCTGCTTTGTAGCAATGAAATGTAATATCTATTTTATATATAAATAAAAGTGACAGCTCCACCAGCAGCACTTTATATATATATATATATATACACACACACATATAGATAGATATGTATGTACATGTATAGGTATGTACATATGCACACACATTAATTTTAATATATCCTGCAATTGTTTTATACAGCTCTATAAGTTAGTGACTGCTAGTCTACAGCTTGTGTACTGCAGTTAGATTTCTGTGGGCATCTCTTCTCTTATACCTGGGTTCACAACCACAACTGAGATAATATTCTTCACCTGAGATGCCTGGCACGAGAACAGACACCTCAGTTTGGGATGCAGTGCTTTTGAAGAGTTTGCTGTGAGTTTCCATAGCACGCACTGAGCTCCCGTCCCAGGGGGAGTTGGCATCCTGGTTAGCTTTGTGAGCATCTCGAGTGAGAAAACCCTCATCTGTTTAGACACATCTCTCCTTGGTTCATATCCTTAACTGTGTCTTATTGTAAAGCAGTGATGTTGTTGGAGATGTTTTTACTAGTCCCAGTATATGAATGCACAGGTATGTTCATAGATACCAGGTAAGTTGAGATGTATTCCTGTTTTTCATTGGGTTTCTGTGCTTAAATTTAGTAAGAGCTGGGAAACATTTTAAATGTCTATATTTAGAAGGATTTCTAGCATTTTAATTTGAAATAGGAAGAAGGATGGGGGGGAAGGATAAGATCCTTTTTACAGATCCACTTTTACAGAAGTGATGTATCTGGAATGAGCAGGAGTGTGTTGGTGTCTGCCCGGGCAGGAATGAACAAATGCAAACCCGGGGCTCCCTCTGTGGGTCGTCCCGTGAAATTACTGGAAAAAATCAGGAGGATTTTTTTTTTTTTTTTTACATATATGTACATAATAGGAAAAATTAATGCTTTTAATGTATTGCTGGTATTTTACCTTTACAAGCAATTCGTGTATGTTGACCTTTGAGAGGTTTACTGTTCAAATGAGTGTCAATATTCAGCCCTCTGGGAAAATCGATACACTAAAGAAACGTGTTGCTGTATCAGATTTTAACGTGATTCTTTTTCCCCTCAGGATATTGCCCTATGGCTGTTTGGCAACTGGAGATCACTCTGGCCTTATTGAGGCTGTTTCCAGTTCAGAAACCATTGCTGACATTCAGTTAAACAGCAGCAACGTTGCTGCAGCCGCTGCCTTCAACAAGGACGCGCTCCTGAACTGGCTGAAGGAATACAATTTAGGGTAATTTCTATGGTTATTTTCTCGGCTATAGTATGAGCTACAAAATGCCTCTTAAGTTTCTCTTTTAATGTTGAGAGAGGTATTGTTCTTCTGGCAGGTTTGTTGCTAATTATTTTTCTATTATGTCAAATTCTGACTCAGATTCCTGGTGCCCTTGGACCTGGCATTTGCAGCATTTTCACTGCATGTTGTTGAGTAATACTAGATTTGGCAAAACAAAAAACATGGGCTTTGAGTCTTGATGTTGTTGCCTTTCTTACTGCCTATTCTCCATGGCTACTTTTACAGTTTTTTTTCTCAAGTAAGCCTGGTTTTACAGCATCCTGAAGGACTTTTGGTTTATACAAGCAAAAATCCTACTTGGGGTCAAGGCATGACAGGAATTACCAATAGTGTTACTAATAATGTTTGTCTTTGTGGTTACAGAGATGACTTGGATCGAGCCATTGAAGAATTTACTCTGTCTTGTGCTGGCTACTGTGTAGCTACTTATGTATTAGGAATTGGTGACAGACACAGTGACAACATCATGGTCAGAAAAAACGGGCAGGTAAAAATCCTTTCCCTGGGCAGAATAACAGTGTGCAGGAATTGTCTGGAGAACTTGTAATTTCTGTGATGTCTTGGTGAAATTAAATCCACAGATGATTAGAAATTTTGCCTTTGTTCACTGAGAATTAAAGAAAGCTTCAAGGAGAGGAAATGTAATGCTGGTGGAAGGACAGACCACTTCAGTAAGCAATTCTATATCAAGAGAGGCTGTTCTGTAGAGCTTTTTCAGAACACCCAAAAGGTCTGTTAATGGTTCAGAATCATTGAATAAAAGTAACCTTAGAGTATCTTGCAAAAGACCATCCTTAAAAAGACGTGAATTGCATTTTGGAGCAATGCAGTTTCCCTGAAGGGACCCTCTGCAGCTCAGCCCTGCAGAAATGCTCAGTGTGGAACCAGTACCAGCACAATGCTGTGCCCTGAGCACCTGGGTGAGCTCTTAGACATGTATTTTCTTGCTTAATGACTAATTTGTACTGTAAAACTTGTCTGATTTAGTTGAAATCATTCTGCCTAGAAAACTAGTAAAGGTTATAAAAGTGAGAGTTCTACAGACATTTGCAGTGTTCGTTTAAGTTTGTACCTCCTGGAAGAAAGCCAAAATGTCCTTATCTTCGATTCTAAAATGGGAGAACTGCCACAGGTTCCTTAAGATTAACTTAATTCTGCTGACTTTGCCTCTGTCTTTATGTGGGAAGTCCTTGGATATGATGATGTTGAGCCTCGTGGGCTCATCCTTGGGCTCATTTTTCTGGGTGATATTGCCAGCAGGACATCCAGTGGCAGACCTTAAACCTCAGATAATATTTTGCACTCTGATTTGCTGCAGTGGCCACTCAAGAGCGTGGACATTATCACTGACTTTAAATCTTGAAATGTTTTCAAGCAAACCCCAAAGGGCTGAAACCATGGGCTGTGGAGAGTTGCATTAGGAGTTACAACTGTTCTTAGTACCAGCATCCTGCAGAGATATCAGAAAAGTGACATATTTCACTGGAAAAATTAACTTCCAATTCTGTTTCTTTTTTTAGCTCTTTCACATAGATTTTGGGCATATTCTTGGAAACTTTAAGTCCAAGTTTGGAATTAAAAGGGAACGGGTACCTTTCATACTCACCTATGATTTCATTCATGTTATTCAACAAGGAAAAACAGGGAACACTGAAAAATTTGGTCGGTGAGTATTATTTTGATTGCTTTGTAACCGAGATGATCTCTGGTGATAATTTCCAGCATGCCAGGAACCTATCTGGGTTTGGTTTGCGCATTTGCACTTGTGTGGAGGTGTCCTAAATGCATTTACTGTCCTATCTGCTTCTCTACCTGAGCAAGAATGTACATACCAAGTATTTCATAACCAGAAGCTGCAGCTGTGCAGTGGGAAGATGCAGTTCTACCTCCCACAGCAGGAGGTGGCAGCTTTTGTTGGGCTCATTCAGTTTTTCCTTCAGCAGCACTGGGCTTTAGGCAAGGGTGCCACAGACTTGTTCAGGTGAGATGAAGCACTGGCCTTAGGAGCAGGCTCCCTTTTGCCCTTCCTGTCCATCAGTGCACACTCAGGGTGCTACCCCATCCTGACCTTGCTTGGACACTTGGGCATAGAGAGCCACTTGCTCAAAATCCAGCCACATCTGGCAGTTGGTTCAGTTTTGACCTTGTCTGTAGGAAGGAATTACAGGTGATAGAGATTAGGGACAGGTTGGGCTGATATCGAGGGACTGCTATAGGGCTTTTGTTTTTCCACTGTAGGTGCACTCAGTAGGATCATCAGGGAATTTCACCTAACAAATTCTCAGCAGATGGGACACTGGCATGACCTCTGGTGGTCTTTTGTACTGATGTTTTAGGGGCTTGTTGCAGAGCCATGGGATATGTTTGTGAGAATGCATCAGAGTTCTGCACACATCTCTGTCCTTTCTGTCCCTACAATACATGTGTTAGACCAGATAAGGAATTTGGGAAATGGTTCCATACCTTTGTCCTCTGTGGAAGTTCTCACGTGTTGTGTTCATTCCATGTGCCCTGTGGGACACCAAGGTTCCGGCAGTATTGTGAAGAAGCCTACCTGATCCTGCGGAAACACGGGAACCTATTTATTACACTCTTTGCACTGATGTTGACTGCAGGGCTTCCAGAGCTGACCTCTGTCAAGGACATCCAGTATCTCAAGGTAAAGTAAGATTTACAGCTCAGCGGGACTTAGCATTTTTCCAGGATGGGAATTTTTGATTCCAAGATTAATACATTTTAATTGTTTTCCATTTCTGCCAAGATTTCCACACAGTCCTCAAAGCTTTCTTTTTCAGCTCTGTAGTCAGTCCTAGTGCTCAAAGGAAACTGTTCCTTTCATGAGTTCAGCATCCCTGCATCTTAAATGTAGTGTGTAGTGTTTCCATCTTGGCTCATACACAAGCAGAGACCCATAAAGGGGAAAATTATTTGCTTAATTCTTTTTCAGTTTTATCTTAAAACCCAGAAAATACCTCTGATAGTACACTGATGGCTCAATGAATAGGTGAAGAAGTGACACAACACAACAAACCAGAATGCAGTTTATGTTGAAAGGTGATGGAGGTTTTAACTGTGTTTTTTAAAATTCCTGACAGTACTTGTTTTCCTGTTGTCTTAGGACTCTCTTGCCTTAGGGAAGACCGAGGAAGAAGCACTAAAACAATTTAAGCAAAAGTTTGATGAAGCACTCCGGGAAAGTTGGACTACTAAAGTGAACTGGATGGCTCACACTGTTAGAAAAGATTATAGATCCTAGAAGACTTCTGCATTTGCACTAAGCTGAAGGTTAGCTTGATAAGTGTTTTTAGAGGGTGTCTGTCCTATGGACCAACAAAACTTCAAGAATCGTTTGGATAACGCTCTCAGGCTCACAAACAACGAAAAGAAATGGACTGAAATAACTCCTGAGTCTTTTGCACTCTGCTTCTGAATGCTTGATTCCAAGACTGTCTCTAGAAACAGTGAACATCCTGGATAATCAGTTCCTGCTGACTTTGCACGCTGAGAGCTACTAGGCATTTTTAAAAATTCTTTGGTACTTTATGGAGGTGTAAATATTTGTTTTTATACGTTAGAGTAATGTACTCTAACATACTCGGGAGGGTTGAAGACCTCTGACAGAACTGTTATTTGTTTAAAGTTGGGACTTGAAGAGTAAATTTTTTTTTATATCCTAATGTGGCTAAAAATGACCATATTGTGTATATTTTTCATAAGACCTCTGCCCTCCTGGCACAGATGCATTAATTCTACTGTAAATAGCAAGCACAGTGTCACTGTACTGCAGGGAGCTGCTCCACGTCTCGTGCTGCTGCTGAAGGAAGGGTGGATGTTGGCAGGGTTGGGGAAGGACAGGAACATCTTTGGGAATGATGCAGCATCCAAATGTTCAGGGTTGCACAGTTTTGTTCCTCTGACATAACACACACAAAAGAAGCCCTTTAGAATCAGGAAGGTGAGGCAAATTCCAGACGTGCCTGTGAATCCCTCGTGGTCTCCCGCTCAGCCTCTGGGGCTTTGCCCTCAGTACCTCGAGGGGCACATTTGGTTCAGGTTCAGCAAGAAGCTTCTCACAGCCTTACACTGAAATTTGTATCTCAGATTAGTTGCTCCCTGCAAAATGTACTGACTTATGTAAGAGACATTTTAATTCAATATATTACACAAAGTGGTTTTTAGAGCCTACACACCAAAAACCCCAAGTGTTTGGAAAAGCAAGTGTTGATGGGGAAAGGTCATTTCACAGAACTCCAAGGCGAAGTCACTGGTCTTTTCTTGCTGTATTTATTAAAAGCTTGCAGTAATGTTGCTTTACCAAGATATATATGTCAAAGATGGTTGCTGAAGAAACTGGATTTGTTTTAATTTATTTAGTGAGGTACCAGGCTTGTAGGTGCTTAAATGGAGAGCAAATTTGTTACGTGCAATAGGGAACTGCTGGTTCAAAGATGTAACATACTGTTTCTGAACATCAGCAAGAGAGATTTTAACTACTGCTTGTTCTCCAAGGAACACTGGTAGCTCTTGATTCTTGTTGACATTTGAAAGAGAATTAAACATATATATTTACCTTTTGACTAAACAGTTGTTCTGCATAGAAATGTTGGTTTATTGTTGGCAGGAATTTAGGGAAAGGTGCTTTTACTTTGTTGAGAGTGGTTTATTTTTGTTGGTTTGGGGTTTCCTTGTTTCTTTTAGAGGTCAAGAACCTACCTGGAGCCAAGGTGGCATTCTGTATTCTCTTGTCCCTCACCCATTGGGCTTATCTATCTGAACAGACTTCTGGTTCTAGAATATGGTAAAAGTAACAAGTGGTTTCTGGTTTGGTTTTGTTGGGCTTGATTTTTTTTTTTTTATACAATATAGTAGCATTAAAAGTGCTTTTTCCCCTGGGGTTTATATATATATATAATCTACAACAGATGGCAGGAAAGCTAAAAAGAAACTACATTGGAGGTGATAACTCTGGAAAAAGTAATTTCATCCTCGGCTACTTCACAGCATGTAAATTTGCATAAGTAACTGTTCTTGGACACATTGTATTTTTCTGTGAAACAGAGTATCAGACATCTCCGCTACACTGTCTTGTTGAGGGAGACATAACCTTTCCCAGAACTTTTGAGATGAAGTTGGCGAGTTCCGCTTGGCTGCTTGGAGCTGGTGTGTGTGGTATCTGAGAGGAGGGAGTGTGATGGCATCTTTACATCCACAGCTTGACAGGGTCAGCTCCGTGTTCCAGCCCAGCCTGCCTGTGGGACGTGGAACAGGTTGTTCAAGTCTGTGCCTCAGACTCACTCCTGTTGGCCAAACTGGAGGTAGGAGCCTTGACCTCCAGGTGCAGGAACACCTTCCCTCAAGTACCACCAGGAAATTGCACTGAATAAAGTCGTTTTGTGTTGTGAGATTGTTTTGGGATGTGATTTTGATGCAGGTTATAAAAGTACTTGGGATAAGCAATGGGATTTCCTCACCATCTTCCCTGAGGAAGGTATTTAGAGATTAGTAAGAAATACTACTTCTGCCCAGTATTTGTGTTGGTTGACAGCCCTTGAACTGGCTGTGTTGTGTTTGGTTGTCTTTACCTTTGCTACACTTACTCTTGGCAATAAATTAGCAAGAATGGGGAGAGGAAGTTACAGGCCTGTAAATGGTCTGGTTTTGTGTTTTCAGCAAAGACGATGCATTCTCCTCATGTAAATTCATCTTGGTCAAATAGCTGAGAAGATGGCACATCTCAGAGGAATGCCTTCCAGGCTGGCATCTCAGGGATGAACCTGACAGCAAGCAGTGTTTCTAAGGTCACCGAGGTTAATTTTGTGATACCTTCATGTTAAGTTTTGAGTGGAGTACTGGTTTGCTGAATTGTATTAGTAAATAGATCACCACTTGCCCTGGTTTTCATCGTATTTGCTACAGCCTGTGGTATAGAGACTTTCATTCGGGAAACAAACAAATAAATAAATAACTGCTTTGTGAAATGTTGGAAGAGAGACAGTCTGTCCTTCACATTTTGTCATCCAAGAGGAAAAGACTGGAATTTTGGCACATCAATCTGTTGCTTATTTCTGTACTTACCTCCCAGTATCCAGCTGCAGTATTGAAATGGTAAGTTCATGTGGGCTGATTGGGATCATATTATTTTAGACCATTTACAAAGTTCAAAAGGCATCAAATGGTCAGATTTATAATATGAGAGGTTTAAGATTTTGTTTGTAACAATAAGGAGAAACATAACCTTTTTAAATGTGGAAGCTTTGGAAAGGATGTCGTTTTGTGCAGCTGTAGAAAAGAAACATAAGGTACAACTTTGATAACAAACATCTTCAGTTCAGATAGTCTCATGTTATGTTAATTACTTTTCTCCAGGTCTACTTCTAGTCTGCTCTGTACAGGCCAACTAAAAAATTACTTTTCTTTCTCAAGGCCTTCATTGTATCTGGCAAAAAAGAAAGTTACCTAGGCTGCTTTAAAAAACAAAGTTGAAATTGGGTATATGCAGTGTATATATTGTATTAATTTATTCTGTTTTTCTTTTGATTGCATGAGTACTCTGTGGGTACTTTACCTTAAATTATTTGATTTGAATCATTCTTTACCTTGAACCATTTGATTTGTGAACAAATGGTGACAACTGCTGCTTTTATATTCCTGCCTGTCCTGTGTTGGATTTCCAGGGAAAGAGCTCCCATGGATTTGTCCCTCACCAGTGGAGTTGCTTCCTTTCCCTTTTATGCTTGTATCAGTTGCATTGGCAGGGGTGTGTTGATTTACAAGTCACTCACATTGCAGTGAGTGCCTTTGATGGAGCCCATTTGTGTATTTAATATAATAGAGCCAATATTCCTCTTAAATTTCCTTGAGCTATTGGAATCAGATAATTAAAGAGTACAGGCTCTTAATAATTGATATGTCAGGCTATGATCATAGCTTTTTTCTTTAGGAATGATTTCAAGCCTAAATCTTTTAAATGTGTAATCAGTATTTCTATTATAATTCTTTCACAATGTATTGTATTAATATAATTGTGTCTTGAACCGGCTTTAAAATCTAAAACTGAAATCCTGTGCTCACATAATGTGTTCCAGTTTTTGGCAAGTTTTCTTGAATTAATTTTAAAAATTACTGGTCTGGCATAAGAGCTGAGGGGGTGGAGTTGTCCTGATGGACGAGTGTCAGTGGGTGCTGCCATAGAGGTGCCAGTGCTCCCTGGCTCTGGGATCTCACCATTTGCAGGGGCCTGTGGGGTTTTTGGAGACAACTGTGCCTCGTTGTGCTGTGGCCGGTGAGATAAAAGTCAGGTTAAGCTCAAGGCAGTGGCCTTATTGCCTGACCTCAATACCACACACATAAACCTGGGTATGACAGGAACAAACGTGGTCTCACAGTACCCGGCAGAGCAGCCAGCCCAGGAAAGGTGCAGTAATTTAACAGCTACTCAGACAACAAGTACCATATTTGTTCTTGCTTCCTCAGTGCACAATAGAAATGCTGTAGTTGTTCTTCCCAAGCTTGACTTCATGACTGATAGAGGAGGAGAGTGGTGCTTCTGCAGTGCTGACCAGGGAAATGATTTACCTTACCCATATTAGCAGCTGTCCTTCAAATAGGACAGGAAGACAGCATTGACTGTAGGGGAAGCGAGGGGAAGAGAAAGTTGCTCCTTTAAGTGAGCTGGTTTTGCACATTGCTATTACTTAGACACCTTTCCACACTAATAGCCCCCCTAAGGAGCTTTGCTGGGTGTACTCGAGCAAGCCACAAAGGAAATCCTACTGGGCAGATGCTTGTTCTGTCCCCTCTGGAACACCTGGCTGAAAGCTCAGCCATGTAACCTATTGGAACTGGTTTCACTGGAGTGGACTGTCAAATTTAAAAGATATTGCTGTGATGACCTAGTCCTTCATCCTTTCAGTCTGTCACCTTGCTCTTCCTCAGGTGACTGTCTGGAGACGTTTCCTCTGGATTGCTTGGTGAAGAGGAATGGGGATGAATAGATATTTCTAAAGTAATGGCATGGCTTATTCTTGGGAAAGCTGTGAAGGACCACAGCTTAAGAATAGCAGTCTGAGGGAAATGTAAAAGGTTAATTCTGGTTTGCCAGGCATTGCTTGGCTTTTATGAAGCAAATGAGCGGAAGCTCCAATCAGGCACCATGGAAACATGGTTTCTGAGGGATTAAGGCCCTTGTAGCACAAGGCTCTTCCTAAGATCTAATTTCTGGCTTTAGAAGTCTGTGTTTGGGCAGGAAGTCTGGGCACTTGTTAGAAGGACTCAGAGCCAGTGAAGTTTGGGCAGAAGGGTTCATTCCTGGTAGCGGTTCAGTCCTATTTGTGAATCCTGCCTAAGGTTTTCTCCTACATATGGTACCTGATGGGCATTGGACAGCTCAGTCTGGTTTCTGAAATGGTCTCTATCTCTTGCTAAGGAGCATTGAGTGTTTGACATTCCATAAAGGGAGCTAAGCAGTATTGTTCAAGATAACTCTGGAGCACAGGAATGTATATGTGGCTCTGAATTCTTCCTGTTGAAACTGTTTTTTGAAAGGGTGGAAACGAAACACAAGAATGGATGATATAGCTCAGTCAAAGTACTCCCTAGGGATAGGAAAAAAAAAAAATCAGGATTCCAGCCCCCTTATCAAACATCCATTGGAACAAAAATGGAACAGTTCCAAAAGGGGAGCAGGAAGAACACAGAGAGTCCTTAGGAAAAGGACTAATGAAACAGGTCCAAACTTCCCAGCCTGTCTTCTGTCTGCTTGGCTAAATAAAAGAACCCATAGTATCAATGGCTATGGGACACTAAGGCTGTATAGCCTGTTCCCAACCACAGACTGAGGAATTCATTCTGCATACAGAGTTGGCCAGTTGCCATGGGAGGAAAAGATGCATGCTGCTAAACTTGGGATAACCTATTCCAGAGGCTACTACCTCCTTTCACCTGTACTTAAGAATTCCATGAAGATAAATAGTCTTATGTAGGCCTGGACCTTAATGTCACCTGCCCCTACCATTGTGTATTGGCCTATTATTTGGAGATGCACTACACAGTTTTAAGAACTCCTTAAAAACTATAGGTTTGGGTTTAAGAACCCAAAGAAAATTCAAATACTTTAAGAGTTGTGATCCTTGTTGCTTCTTTTAAGGCAAGATGCTGAATCATGAGAGGTGTTGAAAGCCTGTGAAAGGTCAGAAATTCTAGCAGGGTGTTTGGATTTGATCTGCCATCCTTGTGGCCTTCAGAAGCCCCCTCCCCACATCAAGTTGCATATCCAAGCTAGTTAATTTAAAAATAAAATGTTTAATATTCCAGACCACAAACAATACTGAAACATATCAAGGCACTGCAAGTAAGAGTAATGCACCCAGTGTTCTGCATGCAATAGTCACTTCCTTCTTTGAAACTCAGTGGGATAATCTGGTTTCCTTGAGAGGACAAAGAAAACTGTAGATTATTTCTGAAACAATTCCTTGTCCTTAGTAGCTGAGAAACTTTTAGCTTACAGATCTTTGCTTGCAGGGTGCATGGTGGGTAAATTACTGCATGTGCATCTGCTGTGTATAGTATGAGCTGCAGTATGGGTGAAATTGCTGATGCTGCACAGGCCAGAGCCCCAGTGAGCCTGAGGGATCCAAGCTTTAGGGTTTGGGATGTGGTTGGGTACTGGCAGGGCACCCCCAGCAGATCTTTAATCACCTCTCTGCAGTCCCAGGCGGGCTGTGGCTCCTCCCCTGTCGTAGTGGTCGAGCAGGCTGTGGGCGATGAAGCCGCTCTCCGAGTGCAGGGTCTCGCACTTCCGGCAGGTGAGGATCTCGCATTTCGGACACATTTTCCCGGAGCGCGGCTGCCTCAAAGAACAGATTTCCTCCCGCGCTGGCTTCAGCTTCTTGGAGCCTTTCCTGTGTAAACATCTCCTCTTGTCTTCAAAAAGCTGACTTCTTCCCTGAGGGCTACAACAGTCACAA